AGCATAATGGCTATGTCGCTGGACTCCCACGTAGTCAACTGCGGTTCAAGACCTGGACCTGGTGGCTTAAAACTCATGCCGGGCGTGTGTGCGTGCGTGCCCAAGATCCTGAGAGGAGAATGGAGGAGAAGGGATTGCGGTGTGGACATCTCCCCTGGGGGGTGATTTCTCGTTTTCTGTCTCTTTGTCCCTCTCTGTCTGTCTGGTGAACATTCACACCCTATAGCAAAAACCTCTCCAAAAAAAAAAGAAAAAAAAAAAAAGCATTCATGCCTTGGGCCAGCTCACTGGCATAACAGAAATGTGCTGCTCCAGGGAAGGTGGGTCCATTCCGAAAATCACGGGTTCAGTCCCTGGTGGTCCTGTATATGCCAGGAGTATATGCACCCAGGATCTTTGCTGGCTGGGGGAGACAGAGGCTGGGGACCCTGCTGGGTACTGTCTCTCTCGCTCTCTTAAAAAAAATGAAATAAAACTTTTTTTAGAGAGAGAGATTTTTGCCATAGGGCACATGCATGCGCCAGAGAGACAGAGAGACAGAAAGCAAGAAATCACCCCCTGGGGCGAGAGAGTGGCCACGCCGCAATCCTTTCTATTCCATTCTCCTCTTGGGGATTTTGGGTATGCACACACACACACCCAGTGTGAGTTTAAGCCACCATGTCTGAGTCTGAAGCTGCAGTCAACTACATGGGAGTCCAGCAACATAACCATGACACAACTGCTGGTCCTGAAATAAACCTTTTCAACAAAGAGTATTTGGGGTCCGGCCAAGTAGTGTGGTGGTTAAGATGACTAGGCCCCACGTCACTGACTGTGGTTTGAGTCTCAGACCTAGCAGCTTGAAAAACAAATTGGGAATGTCTACATGCACACCAAAAATCCTGAGAGGAGAATGGAGGAGAAGAGATTGTGGCATGGTCTTCCCCCTTGAGGGATGATTTCTCCTTTCCTCTCCCTCCTGCTTTTTGTCTTTCTACCCAGGGAGCACAAGCACCCTATCGCAAAACTAAAAAAGTATTTGGCCCAGCCGTAGTAATGGTGGTTAAGGCAGTTAGAACCCATATGGCTGATTGCATGGTTTGAGACTCAAACCAGCAACTTGAAAAACATGTTGGGGGTGTGTGCATACATGTCCAAAATCCCCAAAGGAAGGCGAGAGGAAGAAGGGATTGCACCATGACCATCCCCCTGGAGGGTTCTTTCTCTTTCTCTCTCGCCCATTCTCTTGGCCTCCCTCTGAGGAAGGCATATGCACTCTGGCATTATTTTTAAGGGGAGCGTTAATTTCTTAAATTATACTCAGACTAAATTTCTATACTCTTGTTTGAAATTCTTTTTTTAATATAAGGGGAGCCTCAAAAATGGAAGTAGTTCAAGGGTCTCTCATCTTCTGAGTTTATTTCAGGTGCTAGTTCACGGTAACAAGAGGCTGAGGTAGAGTGCTGTTCGGGGGAGGCAGAGGGATGAGCGGGAGTGACAGGACACGGGCAGCCTAGGAAGGACCTGACAGCTACTTGAGGGTGCAAGTCCAGAATGATTCTGCAGTTTCCAGCCCAGGTCATTCGGAGGACAACAGTGCTATTAATAGGAGAGGAAGTGGATGCGTGAGAAGAGGAGGAGCTCCACTTTGGGAATGAAGGGCCTGGTCTATTCTTTTGTCCATTTGGCTTTAAATGAGCCAAAGTAACTCCACTGACAACTGTTCTTGGAGAGGAGTGATCGACAGGGAAGAGGCTCTGACCCATGCTCCGCCTTAGACCAAGGAAATACGATCGCCAGAAAAGCACCTACGCAGTTCCTAGGATAAGCACAGTTCCTACAGGGAACTGAGTCAGTCATCACAAAGTTCCTTGCAAACTCCCCTCTGAGGTCATAGGTATATAAAAATGTCCTGAATTCCCTACAGGGAAAGAAGATGGAGACCTGCTACTATGGCCAGATTTAGCTTAGACTACTTTCAGTCTGTGTTCCTCATTTTGAACCAAGAGTACCAACTTCCCCTCTCAGGTTTGGTGCCCACGCCACCAAAATTAAACAATTAAGATTCAGTTGTGAAGGTAGAAAGAGGAAACAATATCTTCATCATGTCAGAACATGGAGCCCTTGGAGATGATGGGGTCCCATGACTGAGTTCCGGTGGATGGATGTATAAGGAGAGGAAACAAGAGCAGAACAGAGATTCCCATGAACAGTCTCTCTGCTATGTTCTCACTCTGATGTGACGCCTTGGGACTCTGCAATGCCCCTATCAGATACGGTCTCTGGTCCTTGGGCCTCCAAATCATGAGCTCAGTAAACCTCTGTTCTCTTAAGATTATCCAAACTCGGGTATTTGCTATTATTAGTAATGGACTGGGCTAGAACATCTACTTTCTCAAAACCCTTGCTAAAAAATAAAAATAAATAGAACAAAATGAACATAATGACTCAATGGGAACTTTGAGATCTTGGCAGTCAACTGACTTTTTTTTTTTGGAGAGGTTTTTGCTATGGGGCACATGCATGTGCCAGAAAGACAGAGAGAGAGACAGAGAGACAGAAAATGAGAAATCACCCTCCAGGGGGATGGCCATGCCATAATCCCTTCTCCTCCATTCTCCTCTTGGGATCTTGGGCACGCACACATATGTGTCCGGCGTGAGTTTAAGCCTCTGGGTCTGAGACTCAAACCACAGTCAACCACATGGGACTCCAGCGATGTAGCCATTACACCAACTACTGGTCCCCAATTGACTGTTTTTACAGATGAAGAGTCTGAGGCCCCAGAGGGGGAAGCACACGTGGAGTCAGGGACAGGGCCAGGTCTGGCAATAAGGTCAGGGAACTGCTCCCTACCACCTGGGAGCACCAAGGCTCAGGCTCACTTTCCTCCTATTCCAGGACACTGCACCTTCTCTTGCAACAGTGTGATACATGCAGAGAGCACACCACCATGCAAGCTGGAATTGCTGCACAGACACAGAAGCCTAGAGTCAGATGCAGCAAAGAAGAGGAGGTGTGTTCTCTGCATGTTTGACTGAGACTCCTACTATCTTTTAACAATGACCCACATTACTAATTACATTAGTCCACTTGTCACTTTTTAAAGAAATAATATTGATACATATTTCTCTATACATGGGATCTGAAATCAGTACACGGAAGGAACCACGATCACATGTTCGCTCTAGCATAAAATATGTTTTGTGTGTTGTAAGCAGAGGAAACACTAGCAACCTTCACTGTAACTCAGTACTCATTTTGCAACATATTTCTAAAAGGAAGCTTAATGGCGTGCATCTGCTAATCATAAAACTCACAAGAGTCAGAAATTAAATTGCAAAAAAGAACAGATTGTCATGAGTACTTAAGTATTATTAAAAGCCTCATATTAGAATTTATAGGAGACAAAAGGAGGTGAGTCAGATTAGATTAAAAACAAATAATGATACAAAGTTCACATTAACACAGAGTTGAGTTTGTTTTTTGGTGTTTTCTTTTGGAGGGGTGGTTGGTTTTTTTTTAATTAGCCAGAGGGTTCATGCATTCACCAAAGAAAGACAGAAAAAGAAAGTGAGAAGACATCCCCCATGGGGGAGGGTCATGCAGCAATTCCTTCTCCATCCCTTCCACCTTTCAGGGATTCGGGGCACACACCCACACAAGCCCAGGGTGTTTCTCGAACTGCTGGGACCAGGACTCAGACCACGAGGTCAGCCATGTGGGATCCGGCCATCTTAACCACCACACCACCACACAGAAAGTGTTTAATTTGCTATGAATAAACATTTAGGGAGGAACTGAGACAAAGATGGCTCTTATTTTTAAAAAAAGAACATCATTAACTAATTACCTTAATGTAACCCTTACTTTCTCAAGGAAATGTTCTAGAAATGGAAGGTTAAAAACAAACAAACAAAAAAAGTTGCAACTGAAGACATAATTGGATAAGGTTCAGATCCTCCATCTGACAACTGATTAACAATTTCAAGAAGCCTGTCTAGAAATTCTTCAATGTGCTTTGGAAAGCACAGTTTTGCTTGAGTTATAAAAGAAAGGCAGAAAGAGATACATATTATGTATGTATTTTTTTCAGCCAAAGGTATGAGAACTTTCATACTCCTAGTGAAAGTAATTATCAGTATGAGTACATGGAAAACAATTAAACATTCTATCAATATCACAAATAACATACTTTCTCTGACCGAGAAATTATATTTTTGGAAATAAATCTTATAAAATCTAATAAATAAACTGGCACACATAAGAGGTCTTTTATAGCAACAATATTTGTTAGCAGAAAACCGAAAACAGCACAAATGCCTATTAATAGGGCATTTGTTAAACAAACCACAATACAGCTATATAGTAGAAGACCACGTATCTGTAGAACAAGTGCTAAGTATTATATGAAAAACTCTCCAAGATATTAAGGAAAACAATCGAAGAGCAAAGAAGGTGTGCATTAAATGCCACCTTTTATATTGAAAAGAAGTCAAGAGAAAAATAAGAATCTGTGCATTTATTTCTAATAAGATCTTTGGAGATAAAAAGATTTAAATGAAGAGATTTAAGATACGTAAAAACTGGAAGTGGGGAATGAGATAGGAAAGAGGTATTTCTTTTCATTTTCTGTGTATCTTTTGATTTGATTTGAGATTATGTGAATCCGTTACCTATTCAAAAAAAAAAGTAATTTTCAAATAGCAAAAACTATCTCCTCAATGCTCAAAGCATTTCATTAAATAAGATGCTTCCTAATAAAACAAACTAGAGATTTTAGCATATCCTCAAACAAATCTGACCCTTCAAGCAAAACATGCAGTTAGATGACTGCTGTACCTCTTTTTTAAAAAGAGGGGTTTTTGTATTTTACATAATATAACACATTTAATACTTTTGTCAAAAACCATCTCATTTCAGTGTTTTCAAGTTAAATCCAAACTGCATTAATGACATAAATCTGGCCAAATTTCAGCAATGCAGTTACTTCTTATCTCAGCACAAAGATAACTTACCTCTGTCAGAAGAGTTCTTCCTCCCATGAGGAATTCGGTGAAGGCACAGAATATATCCATCTTCTGTCTCAACTAAGTATTCCTCAACAGGGTATCCCCAGTAGGAGATAATCTCACTCTATGAAGAAAAAAGACAAAGGAAATTCTACAGACAGAATCTAAGCAGATTCCCTACAACAACAGGCAAAGAAGACAGCTGTTGCTGACATTCCCAGGCTTCGTTTAAGAAATCAAATTGTTATTGAAATTTTAGTCTGCTCAATCTAGTGGCCAACATCTCATCACAAGAATAAATCCCTGTTTTTCTCTATTTTTTAAGAATTATTTTATTATTATTGTTACTATTTTTTGAATTTGCTATGGGGCACATGGTCTCACCAGAGACACACACACACACACAGAGAGAGAGAGAGAGAGAGGGAAAATGAGAAAGCAAGCCACCAGGCCCAAGATTCAAACTGTGGTCAGCACTGTGGGAGTCCAGCGCCATACCCACCATGCCTCCTGCTGGCCCCTCCACTATTTTTACCCATGTGTTCTACCCACGGGTATTTGATTAAACTTCGGTTTCATCTTTCCAGAATATTCTATGCCAAGTGTGTCTAATTTTACCAGAGCTTTGGGCTTCTATGCTTCTACCCTGCCTGCAAGACGCTAATACTCATTCATTTCTTTTTTAAATATGTCAGCTAATACTGTGAAAATATAACACACTCTCCTTATTCCAAAAGATCACATCCTGGGGCCAGCAGATGGCATGGAGGTTAAGGGGCTGAATCCCACATAGCTGACTCCATGGTTTGAGTTCCAGACCCGGCAGCTTAAGAAATCATGCCAAGGGGACCAGCAGTTAGTGTAATGGCTATATGTGTGCACTCCCATGTAGCTGACTGCAGCTCAAATCCTAGACCCGGCAGCTTAAAACTCACTCTGGGCATGTGTGTGTACATGCCCAAAATCCCAAGAGGAGACTAGTAGGAGAAGGGATTGTGGCATGACCATCTGTCTGTCCTGGGGTGAGATTTCTTGCTTTCTGTCTCTCAGGTGAGCGTACATGCCCTATAGCAAAAAAAAAAAAAAAAACTCTCAAAAAAATAAAAATCACACCAGGTGTATGTGCATGTGTGTTCAAAACCCCAGGAGGAGAATAGAGGAGAAGAGATTGTGGAGTGACCATTCCCCTTGGGGGATGATTTCTCACTTTTTCTCTTTCTCTCTGTCTGTAGTGAGCACATGGCCCCTAGAGCAAAAACTTAATATAAAAAATGTCCCACCCTGAGAAATAAGTTATAAAAAGCATTCTTCTGTTTTTAATCAGTGGACTCAAAGGTGGAGTTGAAGAAAAGCCGAAAAAACTGGAAATTATGATCAAATCCACTTCTCCACGAGGAAATACCCATGGGACAATTGTAATAAGGAGCTCAGTGGGAAACGGATAATTCAGTTATCCAGAAGTTGTAATGCAAGTGTTCATTATGCCCTAATTACCATAAACACTGGAAGGGATTTACTTCCTGATAGACTTTTCTTTTTTTAAAAAAAAAGGGGGGGGGAGTAAAGGATGAGCTATGCTATGGGGCCAACCTATTTTCTTTAATAATCTGTATTTTTCCCTGTATTCTATTCCTAGATGAAGGATTTTCATATTTTATCATTTGAAATATTTTAATCACCAGGTTATTTTTGCTGATCTGTTCTAACAACTTTTTTTCAGATACTTTGCTTTTTATATCAAAGTGTAACCCCTGCACATTCTTAACCAGAGTCTTTGCTCAATGCAGTAGTAATTACCAACAGTAATATTCTTGTGAAGTTTTGGCACTCTTTTACTCTAAAAAAATTCATTCAGACTTAAAAACAAAAAAAAATGATAAAAGCACATTTAGAAGAAAAATGGGGAGGCAAAGCATTAATGGCACAAAGAAATGTGGTATTATCTGTTAAAGAAATTTTGTAGTTTTATCAACTGGACTAGTGAGAAATGTTCACCTGTTGAAATATCCATTTTGTAAGCCAAATAATAATGTGATTGAATGTATAAAAGAAAATGAAATAAAAAATTTAAAAATTGATCAAAGTCATTAACTTATTAAGACATATATAGTTTCACCAGTAAAATGAAGTTTGTTAAAAACACATCACCTGTATGATTAATCAATGTGTTAAAAAAGTGTTTGTTACAAACACATCGATGTATGATTTAAAAAAGCAAACGGCATGGGAGCCATAAAAAGATCAGAGCTCCAGCTTCGTGTAGCCAGTACAACTGGAGTTAAGAACATCATTAGCCTCTGCTACACATGCATTCTAGAAGTCTCAATGACTTAGAAACTTACCACATTCATGTTTGTTTCAGGATCCACAGACCAATGGACCCCCTCGGAATGGAGGGTCCCGAGGACCAGAGAGGCCACCAATGCCAAGAGCTGCATTTTCATTCTGGATAAAGCAATCTACTGTTATTTGCCGGAATTTTACTACACAGAAATATGTTGGCATCTACTGGGGATAGAAAATGATCTGAACCAGGGCTAAGCACCTTATCTCAATCCTTTGGACTTCGGAACAATCCTTTCAAATGTGGATGTGCACATTACACCCCAGCCTGAGGGCAGAGCCTGCGTCAGATTCAACCTTGTAACCCCAAGATCTAGCAAAGTGCCGCGCATGTAGAAGAATTTTACCAGCTTTGCTAAATGATAGAGGAATTGTCCACCAGTTCAGCCGCTGAAGAAAAGAAGGCCCCAATGCAGCTATTCCTACAGCTTTCCAGTAACAGTTACTGCTCCCACGGAGGCTCCTACGCTGTGCTAGACACCATGCAGCCAGCGCTCCGGACCTACCGCGTCAGTTACTCCAACCCTATGACAATTGCATTAAATCCATTTGTCAGAAAACTGAGGTTGACCCAGGTTAAGCACTGGGAGTGCCAGCTGTTTAATAGCGTGTCCCTGAGATGTTAATGAGGGTCCATGCCCAGTCTGCTCTGGATCGCGCTGTTGGCTAGTTAGGAGAGGCAGGGCAGGCTGCCTGGGAGCTGGCCGGAGGGGAGGCAGAGAAGGTAGGAGAGCTGGGAACCAGGCATCCGGCTGTCCCCGCAGTCTGGGGGAGCTTCACCCACTGGTGACGCGCCCGTCCAGCAAAGTGCGAGCTCCCAGGCAGAGGCAGGCAACTTCCGACAGCCCCTACTCCTGGGTCCCTGGCAGGTGCCTCGAGCCACCGCCCCAGGCAAGACGCGCCGGGAACCTAGAGCAGAGGGTCCTGCCGGCTTGATAAAATGCCGGGGGGTCGGGGACCGAGCACCCGGGACCGTGCGCCGCCCTCTACTCAGAGCTGAAGAAGGCCAAGGAGTGCGGGTCCCACGCTGCTCCCGCACCTGGCAGCGCAGCCCGGCCAGCAGTCACCTGGAGCCGTCCTCCCGGGTCGCTGTCCCGAGTCGCAGTGCGGGAATGATACCTGGAAGGGACGTAGGCGGCCCTAGGCCCGCCACCCTGCACAGTCTATCCACCCAGCCAACTAGAGCAGCCGGCGGCAGGGACAGGCTGCGGAGACTCCGCCCAGCTCTGCATCGCGGCTTCCGAGCGCCCTGGAGGCCCCATCGAGCATGCGCCATAAGCGGTTCCACCATAGCTGTGGCCCCGCCTCCTACTAGTGACTGGGTAGATTCCCAGCTCCGCCCACAGGCCGCGCCGCCAGGGCTCTGGGTCGCAGCCCCTGGCTCTGTCCAGGATCTCCTGCAGGACCTGCGCCTTGTGCGCCTGGCATGGGGCTCTGTAAATGTGAATAACGTATATGCTCCGTGTAAAACGCTTAGCATATAATAACGGTATAATATATGAGATGATGGTCAGTGCTATGAAGAAAAACAAAACAGGGACCAGCAGTTAGCGTAATGACTATGTCGCTGGACTTCCATGTAGTCAACCGTGGTTCGAGTCCCAGACTCTGCGGCTTAAAACTCACGCTGGGCGCATGTGCGTACATGCCCAAGATCCTGAGAGGAGAATAGAGGAGAAGGGATTGCAGCGTGGCCATCCCCAATGGGGGATGCTTTCTCACTGTCTGTCTCTGTCTGGCGAGTGCACACACCCTATAGCAAAAACCTCTCCAAAAAAAAAAAAAAAAAAAGAAAAGAAAAGAAAAGAAAGTAAAGAAAAGAAAAGGAAAGAAAAGAAAGAAAGAGAAAAACAAAACAGAATAAAGGGATAATAAAGGAGGATTCTACGCTGTATATGGTCATCAGAAAAGGACTGGCTGGCAAAGTGGCATCCGGGCATAGACAGCAAGGAGGTGACTGCGTGCCAGTTGCAACTGGGTAAAAAAAATCATTCTGGGGTGAAAATGAGCAAGTGCAAAGGCCCTGATGCAGGAACTGTCCTGCAGGTTCCAGCAAGAATGTTAATGTAGCTTAAAGGGAATGTGCCCGCGGAGAGGGGTAGCACACAGAGTCCTAGGGTAGTCGGATGCCTTGGGGCCCCGTCTTCACGATGATTTTTTCTTTGGACCAAGATGTGAAGCCAATGGGGAGTTTTCAGCAGAAGGGCACTATCATCTGTTTACAGGTTAGCGAGATCGCTGTTTGCGGGGTCGACTCGACGCTGGGAGGCTGGAAAGCTACTGCCACGATCCGAGTGAGAGTCAACGACGGCTCAGACAAGGGTGGCCATAGCAGGAAGATGGAGGCCAACGCTGCGCGAGTTCATCAAGGCGAGGCCACAGAATTGGCTAGCGGAATGGATGCGAGAAGGCGAGGGAAAGCCGCGAGGAGGATCGCCCTCCTGGATTTAGTAAAATGGGATCGCCCTGAATTGAAATGGAGGAAGTACCAGAAAGAGGGGAATCAAGAGTTTGTCCTAGACAAGCTGATCCTGAGGCACCTGTTAGGGAACTCTGTTAGCTAAGCCAGAAACAGAAACCATTCCCGGCATCCCAAATAGAGGAAAAGATTACAAAGGTACGAAATCGCTGGGGAGTTAACAGGGAAGTCCCTCCAGTGGGTCAAATGCAGCCTGCAGGGGGCAGAGGGCTCCACCCTATGGCACCCAGGGCAGGAGATGGGCCTAAGATAAAAAAGGCAAGCCCAAGCAAAAACAGCGACGCCAAGATGTTGAGCAGGCCATAGGAGGTATATGTCTAGGATTCAAAGTCAAATTCCCAGCTAGAGATAATTTGGAAATAGTCAATTTAAAGTCAGTGTTTAAAGCCACAGACTAGAAGAGATATTGCATAATGTAAGCATAAATACCAAAGAGATTCAGAAGACGTAGAAGCTGAGAGCACCGAGGGAACTGAGAGTGTTTTACTTGGCACGAAGTAAAGAAAACAATGTCAAGAGGAACTGACAGCTGTCAGTGATGCTCTGAGTGAGGTGAGCACTGAGACATGAGTGCCGAATAGCGACCTGTCTGGTTTTCAGACCTGGTGCTCAGCTCTTTGTGTTTTATTAAATCTCAAAATGAGCTCCCTGTCCCCATTTCACAGCTGGGGATACTGAGGCTCAGAAGGCTGAATAGATGGTCCAACATTACAGAAGTATTAAGGGGTCTAGCCCCAAATGCTTTCCAGGCAAACTAAACCCAGGTTGTCATCTATGACTGTGTGAACAATTAAAGATATATCAAGAACTTCCTTTATCCGGGTGAGGGAGGATTTACCCCATTTTCCTCCTGGGGACCATTGTATTCCCCAATGACACAGTAGGTTACCCATACTTCTGCTATAAACAGGATGTTTTACAGAAAATAGGAGACAGAGGGGTGTGTGTGTGTGTGTGTGTGTGTGTGTGTGTGTGTTTGGACCAGATGCTCTGTATTATAAACCAAACCGAGAGTTTGAAGACTGAAACAATATTACAACCCGTCCTCACTTAACTACCTACCTCTTGCTTTACAACCAGTTAGTTTTTCAGCTCAGGTACTCCGCTTACTCAGTCTTGGTTTTATTCTTGAAGTCAGTTAGTATTCACTACATGCAGTTTTCACAATCACGCATAACTACAAATTTTATAAATTTGTACTGTGTTGTTCGCCCATAGTAGTATTTGGATAAAAATGATCCTACCAGCTTTACATGATAGTGTTGTGGTGTGTCTTGTTGCTTTCTGGTGCTGTTCTAATGTCTGCTTTGAGTATGGAGAGAATTATAGAATTACAGTATTCTAGTGTGGTGATATGGGATATGTACTGAAAAATACATAATGGCACCAGGATACACGACAAGACACCCACCTTTAAGCCCCTTGCTTATCTACCGATTGCTGTGAATGACTTCACCCTAGGAATGGAACTCGGCGATTAAGCGAAGAGCGCCAGTCCTATGAGCAGTTCTGCTTCCAGCCAAGATGGAGAAAACATGGCCAGATTTACTCTCCCACCTTACACAACTAGAAAAATGGAATGAAACCATAGTTTCGGACAAAGCAAGACAGCAATCCTTGAGAAGAGGAAGACAAATGGAATGCACCCTGTCATGCCCAGGTTACTGTCTAGAGAAAATTTCCAGGCTGTAATTCAGGGAGGCAAAATCCAGTGGTTTCTCTGAATGGGGGAGACAGCTGTGAATTCAGGAAGTCTAAGACAGTAAAGTTGCAACCGAGAGGAGAAGAAAGTTCTGGAAAGCTGCAGGAAGCTCCCTCAAGCCTTGCACTGAATATTGAATGGAGTTTGCCTGGAAGAAACTACATTAGACCCGGGGAGGAACCACCTGGAAGGAGGAAATGGGAAAAGTCCCAAAACTCACACGGGACTGCGAAGAGTTTAGGTCGCAACAGCGAGAGTGGCAGAACCTTGTAATGTACCAGGCACTTGGTAGAAGTTTCCTAAAGCCACTCCCTCAGTACTGGAGTGCAGTTAGCCATATGTTAAGGTTGCTTAAAACTAAGGGTACTGAAAGAGACCCCCAGTTGATTTTCACCAGGTGTTGTGACAATTCAGTAGGGGAAGAATAATCTTTCTAACAAATAGTTCTAGAACAATTGTGTAGCTGTGTGTAAAACAGTGAGCCTAGATTCTTGATTCACATCTTATAGAAAAGTTAACTCAAAATGGACTGTACACATGAATTTAAGAGCTAAAACTTCCAGAAAAAGCAAAAGAGAAAACCTTAGGGAACTTGGGTTGTGTCAAAAAAAAAAAACTTTTAAGTATAATGCAAAGGGAACAACATCTAAGAGAAAAAAAATCAAATTGGACCTCTCCAGCAGATAGTATAAAAGTCTTTTGTTCCCCAAAAGATGCTTTTTTTTTTTTTGGAGAGCTTTTTTTTTTTTTTGCTATAGGGTGCGTGCACTTGCCAGACAGACAGAGACAGAGAGACAGAAAGCAAGAAATCATCCCCCAGGGGCGATGGTCATGCCTCAATCCCTTCTCCTCTGTTCTCCTCTCAGGATCTTGGGCACACATGCACACACGCCCAGCATGAGTTTTTAAGCCACCAGGCCTGGGCTGTGAACCACGGTTGACTACATGGGAGTCCAGCAACATAGCCATTACGCTAACTGCTGGTCCCCCAAAGAAGACACTTTCATCTCCACAATGAAATACCACTTCATAACCACTGGGATGACTATAATAAAAAAGATAAAATAACCAGGGTTGGAAAGGACATGGAAAAATTTGAACCCTGACACACTGCTGGTGAGAATGTGAGATGGGGGAGCGACTTTACAAAATGGTCTGGAGGGGCCAGCAGGTGGTGTGGTGGTTAAGGCTTTGGACTCCACATGGCTGACCGCGGTTTGAGCCCCAGACCTGGTGGCTTGAAAATCATATTGGGCAACATGAGTGCGACATGGAAAAATTTGAACCCTGACACACTGCTGGTGAGAATGTGAGATGGGGGAGCGACTTTACAAAATGGTCTGGAGGGGCCAGCAGGTGGTGTGGTGGTTAAGGCTTTGGACTCCACATGGCTGACCATGGTTTGAGCCCCAGACCTGGTGGCTTGAAAATCATATTGGGCATGTGTGCATGAGTGCCCAAGATCCCAGAAGGAGAACAGAAAAGAAGGGACTGTGGCATGACCATCCCTGCTAGGGGGAAAGGGGTGATTTCTCACTTTCCCTCTCTCTGTCTCTCTCTTTCTGTCCCCTCTATGGCAAACGAACGTGCTGTCTTGCAAAAATCTTAAAAAGAAAAACAGGCGTTCTGGCAACTCTTGAAATGGCAAATAGAGTTGTCATAGGACCAGGGAGATGGGTACATCCCCAGTCCTAGGTATATACCCAGGAGAAATAAAAACTTATGTCCATCTAAAACTTGTGTACCAATGTAGGAGCATCACTCATAGTAGCAAAAACATGGGAACAACATGATTCATGTTACCTATG